CTGACTGTTAGTGACAGGTTGTGAGTGACTGACTGTTAGTGACAGGTTGTGAGTGACAGATTGTGAGTGACAGGTTGTGAGTGACTGACTGTTAGTGATAGGTTGTGAGTGACTGACTGTTAGTGACAGGTTGTGAGTGGCTGACTGTTAGTGACAGGTTGTGAGTGACTGACTGTTAGTGACAGGTTGTGAGTGACTGACTGTTAGTGACAGGTTGTGAGTGGCTGACTGTTAAATGGCCCACACACGATCAAACTTGCTTGACACACATGCTTATTAGACAGCTTGACGTTTGCCTATACACAGTCAAACTTGTTTGTCAAACATCAGTTTGTGCCAAGACTTCGTAATGGATGGACCAACAGCGTTAGCTCTTGCTTCAGGCTTTCAAAGAGAAACAAAACAGGAAAAAAAAGAAAGTGGTCCAAAAAGTGGTTGTTGCTGCGCCAAACGTCTGGCCTTTCTGAATTATTATATGAGATGCGATATACTGAGCCAAATGATTTTCGAAATTTCTTTCATTAATAAACTTCAGCATAATTTTTTCGCCTCTTTTGATGGTGCCATGATGTTGTGTGATATAAATGTGATCTAAGATAGTTAATAACATTTGAAAATTGAAGAACAATGTGTCGTTGCCGGCAGCTAGTGAAAAAATAATGCTTGACAAACAAATTTGGTGAACCCCAGATATCAACAAAAATTAGATCAATCAAGCTTTTGACATCACGCATTTTTGGCCATCAAGCTTACCCATACACGATCAAAAAATGTTTATCAAATATGCTTGAGTCAAGCATGTGTATCAAGCAAGTTAGATCTTGTATAGGCCTCTTTAGTGATTAGTTGTGAGTGGCTGACTATGTATACACTCACGTGAGCTTCCCTTGCACGAGATTGGCATATCCCGTGCAAACTCTAGACCAAACTCCCCCCTGCCCACGCACCAGCCCGGTTGCCAGGAAGGTTTTCTATGTAAAGAAAGGGGCCAAGTATTTACAACACTCTCTGACATTTTTAGCCCCTTTGAGTTACTAAGACCATAAGTTCAGAAACCAATAAATGTTCTATCTGCTCTATCAAAACTGTAATATGGTCGCTTTTAAGCACAAGGGGGCTATCCCGATTAAATGCTGTTTTGAGAAATTCGAAAGTAAAGTTTTTGCCCCTTGCTCAGTTTCCTTAAAAAAACAAGGAGATTTTTCTCTATAACCAAACAAATATACACACCAATGAAACCAAACTTTTCTTATAGTTAGGGCAATGCCCACTCTTGGTGTACGTCAAGATTTCTGGAAACCCCCGAAATCTCTGTTAGCCCGCTTGTCCTTAAAGGCGACCATATTTGGCCCTTTTGAGTTACTAAGGCCCCAAGTTCAGAAATCAAATGTGCTATCTGCTCTGTCAAAATAGTATTATTATTATTTTTTTGGGAGTCGCTATCAAGATATTCGAAGCGTTATCGGAGTCGTTCTCAAGACAAAAAAAAATTGTGTTCGAAAAAGCTTGACAGGGGGCTCTCGTGGCCTAGAGGTTAAGGTGTTGGCCTCTCATTCAAAGGTCCCGGGTTCGAATCCGGGTAGCGACCGAAACATTTTCTTCTCTAAAATTGTCTCCTTTCACCTCCTTTCCTGCTCTCTAGCAATGTTCTGTTGTCTGCTTTCATTTCCACTTT